ATATAGACGAATTACAGCTGTGAAACTTCTTTATTTAGACTGATAGAAGACTGGAGGAAAAGTCGTGATAGTAAAGAAACTGTGGCAATCGTTTCTTTGGACTTCAGTATCAAAAGCTTTCGACAGTATCCCTCATGCTCTCTTGCTTGCCAAACTCAAGGCTTATGGTCTTGGCGAGATGAGCACTGGACTCTCGAGGAGCTACCTTTTTGCAAGAATACAGCGCATAAACATTGGAGACACATTTGGTATGAGCGAAATGGCATGATTGTATATCCAGACAAGCATCAGGCAATGGTGATTGGTGCAAATAGTGAATATGAATTTTATTTTCCTGTCAAGAATTCAATTGAATTATTGGGCGTAACTATCGCGACAAGAATTTGAACTTTAATTGTCACATCTCACAGATGTGTGATAAGGTTCATAAACAATTTGATGTACTTAAGAGATTTAAAAACATACCAGTAATGTAATGCTGCGTTTGTATAAAGCTTTTATTCTACCACACTTTCAATATTGCTCTCTTATTTGGCATTTTTCTGGCAATAGAAATTGTTATAAATTAGTGTCCTTGAACAAACGTATTTTACGATTTATTTTTAATGATCCACTGTCTAGTTATGATGATCTGTTAAAGAAAGCAAAGATAGCATCCCTATATACTGGAAAACTTTACAAAACTCTAATGGTAGTTTTCAAGAGCTTATTTGTTTCTATGAGTATCCTGGATATCTAAAAGAACTTTTTGTTCTTCGTAATTCCAGTTATTCGCTGAGAGGAAAGAATATTTTGACTCTACCTATACCAAAAACAACAAAATATGGTCTTGAGTGCATCCGATATCAAGCAGCAAAAACTTGGAATTCTCTCCCGGACAGCATGAGAACAATTACATCATTTAAGATGTTAAGATAGCCATAAGGAAAATGAACTTTCAGTAGTCGTTTTTTTTATTATTGTTTTGGTAGTAGTTATATTTGTAATTTGACAGACTTGTGTATTTTTCTCTCTCGAAGATATTAGCTCAACAGAGCTTCTCTGAAAATTCGAATTGAAATAAAGTATATGTATGTATGTATGTGTTTTGTGTAATTATAGCATGGCAAATTCCTTGACATCCTTTTGATGTCAACAAAGTTTTGTTATTGTTGGGTTGGTATTAGTTGTGACTATATATGGCCCTTGTAACAACATAAACCAGAAATTTGCATATACTAGACTATCGAAAATTGCCCAGATTGCCATGACTTTTTGGCTTCAGGAGAGAATTATATGTATATTTAATATGTTAATAATGTCAATGTTGTTAATTCAACTTTTTGCAGAGAAGGCTGAATTACAGGTTGTATTACATGACGTTGTTGAGGTTGAGATCGGACGTCAGCATTTTATCAGGCGCCTCTGGCTGCCGCTTCAGCCCATGTAACGATTTCACCTTCTCACCCATCCCACCCCAGGGGAGGACATTCACCACACAGTAATCTTGTGCGTGGGAAATTAACGTCTCCTACCCCTAACCCTGCAGGAGACGGGGCCTACTGTTTATTCGTCCTTATCCGAGAAGACTAGAATATACTATCTATTTCTTGATATGATTATAGAAAGGTAGCAAATTATCGTCAATTGTTTTCAGACCATGAGTATTGGTCCGGCCGGGGCTCGAACCCTCGTATGATATAAGGGGGAAGTCGAGTGTTTTGATAATGTTTTTCTTGACGTGACGTGCAAGTCACTTTAGTCACGTAA